GTTCAGAGCAGCTTCATCCACAGCACTCAAAGCCCAGAAACAACCCAAGTGTCTATCGAAGGGAAACGAACAGTTGTTACATTCACACAGTCCAGGACTGTTCACGCAGTGACAGCGACCTACTGCAAAGACACTGGGCGGAGCACGCACAGCCGGCACCAGAGTGTGCGTGCTGCAGAGGTCCGTTCTACGCAGTTCTGGAACCGGGAAAGCTAATTCACAGCGGTAGAAAGCAGATTGGTGGGGGGCCTGTGTGTGGGCGGCTGGGAGGGGCCCTGACCGAGGGCACGCTCAGGGGACAAGGGCGTGCTCTGCCTCTCGTTCTGAGTGGTGATCACAGCGCTGCCCACATTTGTCCAGAGCCATTGACCTGAAGAGTCACAGTCTGTGCGATGCATTGTATCTTAATTATCCCTCAGTAAACATTTATGTGGAGAGATTGAAAAGACCAGGTGAGAAATCCATTTTCTGGCCCGTCCCCCATACCTGCCCCCAACTCCTGCGAGAGGAGAATGAATTCACGTGCTGTACCCAGAGTGGGCGGGGCCTGGTGGAGAGTGGCGTTAGGCGTTTTCCGAAGTGGGACGGACAGAGAAGCCCCTCTGCAAAGGCCAGCCAGAGGGTGCACGGGGAAGAGGCACCAGCACCTGTGGACGTCTCCGTTACAGCTGTTCACTGCTCTTCTCTCCCACTAGGCAGCCTGGAGACGCTTGTTTTCGCAGTTTCATTGTTGGGTGGGGGTTTTGTTGTTGTTGTTTTTGGAGACAGCTGCTCTGTGCCAGGCCCTGGGTGACACACGCTGGTCCCTACTCTGCGAGGCCAGAGGTCAGGGCAAGAGTCTTCCTCATGGGGCCAAACATCCAGGGACCTCGGAGGAGTAGGAGTTAGCCAAGTGCTGGAAGGAGGTTGTGGGGCCGGCAGGGGAAGGGAGGGGAGGCAAGGCCAGGGGCTTCAACTGTGTCCCCGCCTCCAAATCCCTGGTGGGGGAGGGAGGGGCTCTGAGAGTCTCCCTGCCCGCCAACCAAGTCAGAGGCTCTGCAGCAGAATCAGGGCAGTTTTTTCTTCCCCCCAAAAACTCCCCAGGTGATTCCAAGTTTGAGAACCAGTGTTCTGGTCGGAGATGACAGAAAGGCGGAAGGCCTGCAAGTCACAGGAAGATCCCACTGCATTCGGAACTGAGGGACAGAGAGCAAGGTGAAGTCAAGAAATGAACCTTTTGGCGTCTCTGGGCCACCCATTAAATACACAAACACTAACAGCAACTAATGGGCAAAAAAAAAGGTTTTAAGTAAATTTATGATTTTGTTTTGGGCCATGTTCATGGCCATCCTGGGCCTCGGGAGGCCCGAGGGCCATAGGTTGGACACCCCTGTGTGGGTGTAGAGCTCCCTCCAACCGCAGAATGTGACCTCATTCATAAATAGGGCCTTTGAAGATATAAACAAGATAAGGATGGAGGCGAAGTCAGCCTGGATTAGGGCGAGCCCTAAATCCACCAAGAGTGTCCCAGAAGAGACAGACTGGACGCCCTGAGAGAAGCCCGTGTGAGCACCGAGGCAGAGGCTTAAGTGGTGTGTCCACAGGCTGAGGGGCACGGCCAGCCACCAGCAGGAGTTGGGAGAGAGGCCGGGAACAGAGTCTCCCTCACGGCCTCCGGAAGGATCCAACCTGCCCACACCTTGATTCCGGGCTTCTGGCCTCCGGATGTGATGAAATGAACTTCCGTTGCTTTAAGCCTCCCGGTTGGTGGCATTGGTGATGCCAGCCCTGGGAAACTCATACAAGAGAGAAGCAAGGGCTCAACCTCCCCAGGGGATGTGGAGTGAAAGCTGAGAACACGGAGGAGCCCTGAGAGAGAGGGAGGAGTGTCCCATTCCTAGGCATCCGGGTGAGGGAAGGCCCACAGCCACGACATGTGAGGCGCCCTGCTGTCGGAGATGACAAGGGCGTGCCCTTCTGACCTCTCCCACGTTCCCAGGGAAGTGCGCAGCACAGCTATCTGCCTGGAGTGGGAAGAGGGTGAGGGCGGCGTCCAGAGCTGGGAGGCAGGGGAAGGTTCCAAACACTCTCTCCTGAAAGTAAGGGAGGGAACTAAAAGTATCTCTTTGGCAACACTGAAGAGCTAGTGACATAGCGTCTGTGCAAAGGTGAGACACGACCTCTGGCACAATGGCCTTAAATACAGAGAAGGAATCTACGTGTCCAGCTGGTAGGTCCGCCTTCCAGACAGTGGCCTCTAGTAGTTTGTTCAGGTTTGTTCTACTGGACTCTGAGAACTTCCCCCTTGATCCCTCAGATGTTGCATAAAAGGCATGTCCAAGGTAAATAAGTTAGCCTTGCAGATAAGTCCCGGCCCCTCAGACTGTTTCTGTTACCCACTCACCCTCCCCAAGGGCTACCCACGAAGTCAGTGAGTCAATAAATATTTCTTGTGCACATACTGTGCTAATGCGTGGGGTGGACTAGTTATCCATAAATATTTATTGAGTATCTCCTGAAGGGTCACACGGTAAGACAATTAGTCAATAAATATTTATAGAACTACCAGGCACTGCTCTAGGACGTAAGAACAAAGAAGAAAATACAAATCACAGGAGATTCTGCGTGAGAGGAAGAGTGGCCATCGGGGAGCTCCATTTGGTATTGCAAGAAAGAGTGGTGTTCTAGAAACCAAAAGAAGCAGGGTTTTCCTAGAACTAGAGGGCTGGGGACCCTGGATTCACTGTCTGCTGAATAAAAATGAGTGAATCACTTTACCAAGAAAGTCTCAGTTTCCTTCTCTCTCAAAACCAGGTAGTTGAATCAGCCAAATGCTTTCTCAAAGTAAAAGAAAACACCCTCAATGCAAGGCTCCAGCAACTTTATAACCCCCGGAAGATCTTGCGGGAGGTGCTTGTGGTTCAGTGATGATCCTTCAAGTCTCGGATCGACGTGAGTTAAGCTGACCCGAGGGAGAAGGCAAGGAAGATGGAGAGGAAGATGGACTCCTGGGTACAGCCCTTCCTGACGCCGCCTGGTCCCCACCTTGCTAGTAAGCACAGCCTCATCCTGGAGAGTGAGTCACTTGCCAGAAAGGGGAGACCTGCTCTTCTCAAAACCCCCCAAATCACAGAGGAAAAGCCTGAGTTTCCTTCCCTAAACACCTTGAGATGTTCAAACCCAAGGCCAGGGTGGGGCGGCCAGCACGAGGAGCCCTCAGAGGACGGGGTGGGTCTGCGGGCAGAGAAGGGGAATTCCAGTGTTTCTGAGATGCTGTTTTTCACACTCGTCTTCCCGTGTGGCCTGCCGTTGGGTCTTGCTTTTCTAACATCAGAGCACAACCTCCCCACCACATTCAGCCTGACCCGCATCTTGACCCCGAGGCTGGAAGAAATCGGAGAACTCTTTCGTCCATTTCCAAAGACCAACCAACACCAAGTTACGGCTGCTCTACCGAAGAGGGTCCACCCTCTCCCCTTGCTGGCTTCTGATCCTAAGGGCCAGTCTGTCTCAACCCTTTATGCATAAAACGGTCAGGCTCGCCCTTTACTCAGTATCTGGTTAAGGCCACCTCTGATCACTCGAAGCCAGTGCAGCCTTTGTCTGACCCCAAGGAGTGGCTGGGATGTGCTGCTGCTTTTTAAAAGTCGAGAGACTGTGATCTATTTTAAAAAGTCAGAAGACGTAGCCTCACCGAGTCTTCATTCCCACGGGGACACACTGTCTGGAATTGAGTAACGACAGCCCATTTCGATGGGGGATGTGCCTTTGTGGTCCCCAGTCCCCACCACTCCCTATTGCTGCCCACCCAGCCCACTTTGCTCGTTTCCATGGCCGCCCTGGCCTCTGCAGGTAACTGATTTTGTGACACCTCCTTACAGCAAAATGCCAATAGGAAAAAAATTCTGAAATATAGTGAAATATGGAACGTGATTTTAACCACATAAAATTCTTAAAAGAGGCTAAACAGATAACATGAACCACTTTTGTTTCTGAAACAATGCTTGCTTCTTTTCTTCTTTATGCCTTTAAAAATGATCTCTAAACTCTCAAAAAGTAGACAACAAGCTTGCTCCCATCTCATTGCAAAACCAACAACAAAGCTTGAGAAAAGTACCTAAGAATGAGCTCAAAGCAGCCTCTTCTTTCAAAACCTGGTGGAGATGAGCCCGGTTGCTGCCCGGAGCCCTTCTAAATGGCAGGCCTCAGCCACCGCGCACTGGATTCTGAAACCTTTCTGCATCTTGGCGTGGGCGCCTCCACTTCCACCAGCCTGTCGCTCGTTGAGGACACAGAAAATGCTGTGCTCATTTGCAGCCCCCTGGCACAGCGCCAGACGCCACGCACGTTCTCAGGAAACGACCAGAGATGGGCCGAGGGTGCCGGGGAAGCACAGTGCCTGGGGGCCAGAGCTCCTGTTCAAACCCCCACTCTGCCACGTTTTGGGTGGGCTACCATACCCCTCATCTCTCTCCCTCCTCTTCTGTAAAGCATCGTGACAGACACCAGCCATTGCCAAGGGTGGCTGGTTGCATGTAGTCAACAGGCTACTGCAAACTGCGCACTCAGCACAGGCACGGGGTGCGTGAGAGCTCGGTAAGCGAAAGCCACTGTGATATCACCGCTATTCTTACTGACGGAACAACAGAGGAAAAGGAAGAGAGGGCGTGATCCGCGGTGCACTCACTCCAACTACATCCACCCCTTTTGAAACCCAGAACGACATTTATAAGTCTCCAATCCTCTAAACAAAGCTGTAGGCTGCTCATTAGCCAGATTATTTTTTAATTTCCTGTGAGGCCGCAAAACCCTCCACAAGTAAATAGAAGCAGAGAGAAACCCTTAACTGAGCTCTGGCTCAGGCCTTTTGGTCATCTGGGGCCTACTCTTGGTCCCTGTGGGTCCTGCGTATTCTTGCCGGGCACCCAACCCTGGGCGCCTTGCCAAGAGCAGGGTGGGGTGCCGGGAGGTTACAGACAGTTGGCTTTCCAAACACCCGCCCTGCCTGGAGCCCGACTTACAGCACTCGATGGGGTTCGATGCGGTCTGCAGGGAGATAATCCTTCCACTGGACTCTGGAATGTGCACCCGGAAAACCAGCCTGACTCGTGTGTTCTTTCTGCCGATGTCCGTCTCGCCCTTGCGCAGCTCGATGTCCGCATTCCTCAGCTTCAGGATCCCCGCACAGTCGATGCTGCCAGAAGGTCGAAGGCCCCATTTAAAACCGGCCATGTGGGCGAGCAGGAAGGCTCGCCCACAAGACCACCTTGGGCAGCTAAGCAAAATAATTCCACGGCCAGACGCAGGAAGATACTATGATACAAGTAGTCCGACCAAGGATTTATACAGAGAGGGGCGGGCCACACACTTCGGAGGTAATTAGAGAAATCCCAGTGGAAATCACTTCTCTGGGCAGATTATTTGCATGCCAACTTTTCGACTCTCAAAGCATCTGCAAACCTCAGATACACAACTGGAGAAAATTACTTCTGGACTACTCAAGAGATAAGAGTAGTGTATCAACATTAACATCTTGGATTTGATAAATGTACTGTGCTCGTGTAAGAATGTATTCTTGTTCTTGGGATATGTACACGGAAGTATTTAAAAAGTCCCAAAGACATGATTTCTGCAACTCTCAAACGGTTCAGGGAAAATGGAGAGAATGATAAAGCAAATGTGAAAAACGTTAGCAACTGGCAAATCTGTTAACAATTGGCATTTAGTCTCATCCCAGCCAAGGTAATCCAAAGACGTGTAAGTGTTCTTCCTCCCAATCCACATGAAAAATATCTAGGTAAAGAACTGTTCTGACAGGGACTTTTACAGCAGTAATCAGCCTGGGCCCCTCACAGGCTGGAACCACCATCCACGGCTGCCTCCGCCAACTGCATGGAGCCCCCTCCCCAGAACCCCTGTCTCGTGGCCCCACTTGACCCGCCTCCGGACCCACTGCCCACAGCCCCGGCCCTTACGTCGCCCTCATGTTGTTTTTTGGCTCCAGCGGGATCTCCAGGACTTTGGTGTTACCCACGATCTTCTCGTAGCTGGTGGTGGTGACGGTTTTGCCCGTGATCCGGTGCACCTGGTAGAAGGCGTGGGGTTTAAGGATCCGCTCGTCGGCTGTTCCAATGAAGATCTGCAGGCCCAGGGGCTTGTTTTCCATGTAGCCGTGGAGCTGGGGTGGGGAAGGACACAAAACCAAATTATTCCAGCAGCACTGATATGCAGGGTGTGGCAGCCGTGATCCGACAAACAAAAGATAAGAGCAACGCCTGGGTACCAGGAAGAGCACGGGATTGCTGCTTCGTCCGGAGGAATGGAGATCTGGAAGCAACCTGGATGCCCAGCCAGAAGGGACTATTTCTGGAAATCCCAGGGATCTTCTCTGTGTTGGAATATTCAGTGGCCATAAGAAAGAATGTGGCAGATCAGATTTTCATTTATGAAGTAAGAGCCAGAAACTAGGCTTAAACGGCAGTCGGGGGTTGGTGGGGGGAATGTTACATGGTAGTGAGGACAGAAAATAGCCAGAAGAAAGCTCTTGACCATGGTTGTCTGGGAAAATCAGAAGAAGGAACTTTCACTTTTTACATGCCTGTCGTGCAGTTAAAAAGTTTGCACTGGCAACTTAAGAAAAGAAAAAGGTGAAAGTACCATCACTGAAGTCAAAAGAAAATGAAAAACTGGAAAAAAAAATGTCTGACGTGTAACAGACCGAAGATTAGCAGACAGAATATATAAAGAATGTCCACAAAGCAGTAAGTCAAGGACACGTTTCCCCCGACCATCCTATTTACAACCGAGTCCCGCCCCAGTGGCTCTCCCTGTCCCCTTCTCTCTCTTTTCCTCCCATCTAACACACATTTCCTCAATGCTTTCCCCTACACCTCGCCTATCCCACCTCTCTGAGGGCAGGAATGTTTGTTTCTTCCAGCTGCCACAAAATCGCTAGCACCTACCATAACGCTGGGCACCTGGTAGACATCCTAGTATCTATTTGCTGAGTGAATTAATAAAAGTATCCAAAAGAAAAAAATGAGCAAGAGGTTTGAACAGGCAATTCACAGAGAAGCAAACAGCCATCAGCATAGAAAAGATGTTCACCGGGACGTGTGAACAAGCAAATGCGAGTGAAACCACCATGAGATGCCATTTTTCACCTTTAGACTGGCACGCGTGTGGATGTTTGGTTACATTGGGGGTTTTGCGGGCTGTGGGGACCCAGGCACTGCCATGCAGCTGATAGGAACACAAACTGGTATAGCTATTTTAAAGAGTAACAGCTACTAAATTAAAAATGCAAACTCCACATTTCCCAGTAATTTCATTTCTTCCTATGTACCTAGCAGAAATTTTGTGCATGCAGGAGATATGCACCAATTTGTTTACTAAAAAAAAAAGTGGAACAATAAACAATTAGTTATACCAATAGGCTTATGCATAGTATGAGACACCCAGGCTATGAAAGGCTACAACAATTAAAAAATAATAATAAGGTAGAGATCTCTGGACTGATCCAGAAAGATCTAAGATATACTATTGAAGGAGAAAAGCAATCTGTAGAAAAACATGGGTAGCGTGATACAACCCAATTTTAAAATGCTAAAGGTTTTCAACCCACTCATTTATACACATGTAAATACAACAGGGAAAGATGCAGGAGGCTGCACTCCAAATTGGCCACGCCGTGACCACTGGTAGGGGTGGAGAAGGGGATCGATATTGAGACTGTTGGTCAGAGGACTTTAAATTTATTCACAGTGTTATAGGAAGAATGTATTTCCAGAAATTTGTGAAAATTAGCATGGGTTTTGAATAATACATTTTTTAAAAGTGTATTGAGCCGAGAGTTTGAGGGTGGGTTCCTGGCCTGCCACTCCCCAGCTAAGAAACGCTGGGCGAATCATTTAATCCTTCTCTGCAAATTGAGGGGGACTGTGACAAGTCACAACCAAGATCCCACCCTTCCATAACATTCTATAAAACGTCAGTAGAATCTCCAGTCAACCGCCAAACACAAAGGCCTGATGGATGACCACGTATGGTCTAGAATTGTGCTGCCCAATATAAAAGTTAAACAAAGTCGAAAATTCAGTTTCTCTGTTGCACTAGCCACGTGTCAATTGGTGAACAGCCACAAATGGCTAGTAGGGGACAGCACAGACACAGAACACTGCCATCATGGAGAACAGTTGCATGGGACACTGCTGGTCTAGAAAACCAGGACTCTCCTATACTTTAAAAACTGTACAAAGAGATGAGCTGGAGATGGAGCAGAGTCAGGTGACACCCTGTCCCATCATCTGCTAGGCAGACACCCCGACACGTACCTATAGGTCTGATACACCCCAAGAGGCACCCTAGGGCAAAGACGGAAACCCAGGTCGGAGCCTCTTATCTTTCCCCTCCATGCCAACTGAAGAACAGGGCACTGTTCTCAGTGAGAAAAATAGGAGGAAGGAGGATGGTGTTGAGAAGAGATTTTGTTTTTGCTTTGCACTTGGAGCCAAAATAAACATATTTCCTCAGCTCGCCTCCTGGGTTTATCAGGAAGTGGTAGACACAGCATCACGTATGGAGAAGAAAGTAGGCAGACAGATAGTGTGCCGAGACGGACTGAGTTTCCTTCCTCCTCTGATGACAGAAGAGGGGAAACTGTAGACAGACTGTATTCATGGTAAATACCCAGGGACACCTGCAGATAAAATCTGTCACATCCCCACAGCTCTACCTGAATCCAGCTACCTCCGTCCCCTCCCCTGCTGGCGCACATAGTCCAAGCCCCCATTTGCCTCTCCCTGGAGGGACCACCACTGCCCACTAACTGGCCTCTTGTTGGTCTTCCACAGAACAGCTTGACGATCTTTTAAAAATACAAATCAGGCCAAGATGCTCCCCAGCTTACAAGCCTCCAAAGACACCCTGTGGCCAGAGGATAAGGTTGAAACGTGGTACCACAGTCTGTGAGGCTTCCGAGGGCCTAGCCTCTGCCTTCCTCTCCCTCCCCACCATTAGGCTCCTGCCAACACCATCCATCCTTCTGTTCCCCATGCACATCAAGTGCTGTGTGACCTCAGGGCCTTTGCACAGCCATCTTCTCGGCTTGGAATACTCTCCCACCCATACATTTAGTTCTCGCATCCCTGGGTCTTTCTGGAACCACATTATTTACACACACCCAGAGCTAGAGCCAGCTCTTTCAGCCTTCTGAGAGCCAACTGTTAAATTTTTAGGACTTTTATGAGCCAGTTGACGTCATCTTGGTAGCTTGAAATCAGCCACAGTAGGAATATTTCTGAGCAGGTCGGGAATGTGTTGTTTGGTGTCATGCCAGATAAGTGAGCAGGGAGGTAGTCATGTAAACCACGGTTGTACATAGGAAGGCTGGGATCACACAACACTTTGTCTCAATAAATTCACTCAGAAATACACACCACACCAACTGGCAAATGCCATAAATCTGGCTCATTTCCCCCCAGGAACTGATGTCAAGCAGTCGCTAGCACACCACCGGAACAGTTGCTTCATTACCATCTGAAATTTTCTTGTTAGTTATGTGCCTAGTTTCTCCCTCTCCCACCTGAACACAAGGTCCACGGTGGCAGGAACCTTGTTTATTTTGTCCAGTGTGATCAATACACATGGCGAATAAATGATCACCACCACCAATGAGGCAGCAGCTGGGTGTGCACTTCGCTCAGGCCAGGCACTGCACTCAACGTTTACCAGCATCCCAACCACCCCAGGCAGGGCGGGCCCATTTTACAGGTGAGGAAACTGAGGCCCGCAATAGCCGGGCAACTTGTCCCACTCCGTACTGTTAGTAGGGTGCAGAGCCGGGCCTTCAGGCTCTGCGTTGCCCCCTTCCCCGATGCACCCTCCACCCCCCGGCCTCTGCTCTAGGTCCCTGTTCTCTGATCTGCGACTCCAGACCAGAAAGTGCTGACCAGGCCCTCAAATGAAACACAAGAAGCGCTTGATTATAAGTTCAAGGGTGTTCTCCCGGCTGAATGAGAGAGAGGAAAAGGGAGATGGAGAAAGGAAACAGCACCCAAAACAATGTTGCCTCTTGAGAGAGACACCCTGTCCCTGAAGAAGGACCTCTCTGGGCGCCGCAGCAGCCCCTGGCTGAGCTGAACCAGCTGATACGAGGTGAGCAGGTAGAACCCGCCTTCCCTGGGCCAGCGTCCCTCCCCTGGCCACACCAGAGAGGGGCGTGAGCCAGTAGAAAGAATATACTGCCCACGGGGCCGGACCCACGTGAATCCCAATCCCGGTGCTGCTTCTTCATGGCTGTGTGTCTCTGGAGCGGCGACCCCACCCCTCTGAGTTTCCATTTGCTCTTATAAAATGGGGACCTCACCTCCCACACCCCAGGGCCCTTTTGAAGATGAAGTAAGACAACCTGTGAAGGGCCCCAAACACAACACCCTGTAGGTGCCCGTGAAATGAAAACTTTCCTTGTCATCACAGGACGACGCGAATCAGTACAAGGAGGTGGCATCACAGAACGGCAGGGGAGGGTGACAAATAAATATGAAAGTCCCAGCAAGTGAAAAACAACCCGAAACACCCTCGTGTGTGGCGAAAGCCAGGCACCGACTCCGGTCCTTGCTGTGGGCCAGTCAGACACTGGCATGGCACACTAGGTGACAAGAGAGACCGTGCCATCCTGCACGAGAAGGACAGTTCCCCTCCGCCCTCCACCTCTCCTGTCCTAGAAGGTGCTGGGAAGTGCCCAGGCCCTGACTGCTCAACGTGCTTATTCTGGAAGGGCCATCGGCTCTCCAAAGGTTTGGTACAGAAAGCACAGCGCTATTTACTTGCTTCTCCAGAAAACAGGCGACCTGGGTCTCACACACACAATATGATGTCTCAGGATGGCGAGGTCTCAATGCCCCATTGTCTCCATTTTAGGGAGATTTTGGTCACAGGGTCTCTCTCCAGTCTTCTCCAAAGGCCAGGTCTTCTCAAGGGCGTGGGCAAGCAGGGTCACCTTACAGCCCCAGCAGATAGATGCTGCAACCTACAGGCTCAAGGTCAGCTGGTTCCCCAAGCCAAAGAGGCCCCACTCCCTGCAGCCGAGGTGAGAGGGAAAGTTTTCTGCTTCTGGTAATCTCCCCAGCTGTCGACAAGGTTCCCAGAAGTAGGGGCATTTCCGGTGAGCATCATACG